GGGGTGGGGGTGGGGTGGGGTGGGGTGTGTGGAATTAGATAAATGCTAACAGTCTTCAGTGTATCTGGAGCAGCCAGTAAATTCCAGGTTCTGACAACATCCTTCCCAATTTTCTAAATTACACAAAACCTTGTAGGAGAACTCAGAGCTTCATTAGCCTCCCACTCCTTCCTCTGTTTACTTTTCTTGTCTTCGCTAACCCAATTGCTCTCACCAGCACTGGAAGTTCTAACCCCATAGGAATACTTCATACGCTTCACACAGAATAACCGCAAAAGAAGATTTTCTCAAAAAATAAAGGAAAAGACTAAAAAAAAAAAGAGAGAGAAGGACTTGCTTTGCAAGGTGCTGACACCATTTACCACATTGGGATGTGGCATGCTGCATGTCTGTAAGATGCGACTCTGGGAGAGACTTGCTGATAACATCTCTGGAGTTGCAGGCTTGATGCCTAAAAAAAAAAAGTAATGGCAAAAAAAGAAAGGAGAAAAATGAAGATGTGTTTATTTTGGAATGAAACATAATGAACTTCCAAGCAATACCTTTTGTTTAATACCTATGGACTTTTTCTGGGGACCTGAACAATACCAGGAACATTTGCAACAGGTACATTAATGGACAATGAAATAGGAGCATTTGGACATTTACACACAGTGAAGGAAGTCTACTCACCATCCGTAAAAAGTCCTTATGCAGATATATTCATCTATGCTGACTTACTGTAATATTTCCTTCATCTTAAGTGAAATAAAATGCAGAGTTTGAATTTGGATTAGCTCTGGGTCATGATTATATCTTGGGAGTTATGTAAATTTGGCTTATCATGTTATCTCATTAACTGCTACTTGAACTTGCATAGAATAACAGTTCCTCTTTCTTACTCAGCCTGGGACATGCAAAACTGAGCAGGATGCTAGCATACACTCCTAGCATACATTCATGAGTGTAAAAATCCACAATCATCTGTATGATCTGCCCACTGAATTCAGCTATCCTTCCATTATGCCACCATTTTATTTTATAGCTCCAGTCAGGGCTCCATCACCCCAGGTACTAGTAATACATAGATATATCAGGTACATCACTCCTGGTCTCTCAAAAAGTGATGATCACCAGGCAAAGTGGACGTAGGTGAGCAAAAAGAGCAGCACTGCCTCAGTCTTGTAGAGAGAAATAAGGTACAGAGTGATTTGCCAAGAGATGCAGAGGTTTGAGGAAACTCTGGGCACTGGCGCCTAATTTCCTAACCCCTTCTAGTACCTTAACCCCAGTCCTGTCATCTTTAAGCAACTGCCTTGAATCAGTCCCTCTAAAGGAAAACTGACCAAAATCAACATGCTAGTAGCTCACCCAGTTGAGTGTACATCTCTTACCTGCCATCACCCCATAGGTAGACGGTTGATTTCCATAATGACAGGAAGGCACAGAGTAATGAAGGCCTGCCAAAGTGTTTCCCAGAGTCGTCAGAGCAAAGCGGGCACAGGAGCATATAGGAGTTTGGATCAAAGACAAAACAGACGGGACTGGTAAGAAAACGTGTGAGGATTCAAAACACAGCCTTTAAGTTCAGAGGCAGACAGTATCCCTGTATGCAGTTTTTGTGTGCATTCAGTAAGCATTTAACTCTGGGCCATAACCATCAGGTTAACACTGCTGGAAGTCCAGACACTTGGCCAGGTCACACCAGATGAGACTGCCAGTATAAACAGTGAGATACGCTCTGAGCCAAGACCAGAAACCGTCATGCTGTGGTCTCGATCCATTATTTTTAGTACAATCTATGGGTATAACTCAGTTTACATATACTGCTGAGCAAGGGAAGCATTGAACTCTCCAGGAGAAGACCAGTTCCTCTCCCCATCCAAACTCACACACCATTTCATTTAATCTTACATAAAAGCTTGTTCTATGTTCCCAGAAAATTGATTGGCTTCACTGTCGTGCAAACCCCAGTCAACACAGGCATCAAGGAAAGTGATATTTTATGCATGTCTAAGACCTGGGTTTCCAAAAGCAGCCGTTTGGGACATTTGCTTTGAAGCATCCAGAAGTCACATTTTCGTAAGTGCCAAGCCACCCAAAACATTTCACAGTGCTTTGGCATGGTGCTAGGGAAATAGGACAATAGACTTAGGCTCTTCTAAAAAGTCAACATTTTCCATCATCAGCACCAACAAACACACAATTAATTTCTCTCTAATGTTTTCACCGGGGTGTTTCAGATCTGTGCTCAGTAATCACCAGTGCCTGAAGAATCAGGCAATTTTTTACTGAATGCAAAATGAGAGATATGGCTGTTTCTTATGCATAAGTAGGCACAGAAATGCATGTACTGTCCCCTCTTAACAACTGCTATAAAGTATAATATTAAAAATTCATGTTCATGTACATTCAGATATGTAAAACTGCACTTTAGAGCACACATTCCAGTTATTCAAAACAATATAATTAATTACGGATTAGAATGTCTTTTTTTTATAACAGTAATCACAACAGTAAAATGTCCTGTTTAGATACACTTATACAGATACAAAATCTACTAAAACAGGCATGCTTATGCTGTATAAATACACCCAAAATAAAGATTGCATTAATAATACTAATGCATTTAGAGCAATGCAACTTTTCTGTTGAGATAAGATCTAAGTGTTTACTGGTGTTTATTTTCTTCTGTTACTTCATAATCCATAGACTACAACTTTTATCCATAAAAATAGTATTTTCAACATGTTAATAAGGATTTAAAATCAAATAGTGAGGATAATGTTATTTAAATTAAATAATAACAATTAAAGTGTTAAGAATACTGCAAAACATTAGCTGCATGACGTGGTATAGTATTTGAACAGAAGTATATTCACCTCTCCTTTGTTATGCAGAATTGTCACATGCATTTAAAAAAAATTGACATTTAACATAAGTCATTATTCAAAATTCTTTGTCTACTTTGTGCACAAATTCTCCTTAGATGCTTTCACCAGAATGACATTATTTATTACAATTTCTGAATCTATGTGTGAAGTTTGTAAACCTTTACTCATTATAGCTAGCACCCTCTGTCGCTGCTTCCTTTCTCACAGGGTCATCTGCTAGATGTGATCCCACAAACAAAATTCCCACTGACTACAGTGGTATTTGTTCTTGGGTGGTAACTACAAAATATCAAAACCCAAACCTGAAGCAGAGGAGCAAATGCTTTTGGCTGGCTGTCACCATATACTTTTTATTATGAATCAGATGAATCTAGAAAATACTGCTATGATACAGATACATAAATCTGGCCTCATACAAAATTTAAATTCTACTATTCCCTTCTACCACTGCTAACCAACAGCCATATTAGGATATTTTGAGCCTCCTACTTAATGTATAAGATCCTGTTATCTATCACCAATGCTCTGTTTTCATCATTTACATGCTTTTTCTTCTTATTAAAATGTTTTATTACCAATGCATTTCAGAAGAAGGCTGGTTCCTTGTTAAGACTCCAAATAAAATTCTTACCTTAATAGAATTTCAAATAAATCAAAACTATTTCTTTTTCTGTTCCTGAAAGCTTTCCATCAACAATTCCTGTATTCCAGAATCCCACTTCTGCAGGTTTAAGGCTGCAAGAAAACTCTCTCTCTCTCTCTGTCTCTCTCTCAGATAGTTCAGTGATTACACAGTCCTAGTATTTAAATGCAATTAATTGGATTATATACACAAACACACAAAATTCAAAAATATTGATGAGATTTCTGCCACTAGTTTTGAACATCCCACTTAAATCTTAGTCTTGATTCAGTATGCAATATGCTTTGTAAAGCAATGTTTTTCTTTCTTGAAAGCTTCCCCAAATGATATTTAGACCTGACCTGTTTTAATACATTTCTTATTTGAAGTTATATTATTTTAAATTGTGGTTATATAATAAACAAACTTTCAATTAATTTATATGATACTTGTCACTGAAGACTATATAGCCTTTACAACAGCGACAGTGTTTGAACCTGTTTTAAGTTAATGCATTGGTAGCATACTTGACCCTAATCTTGTAACAAACTAAGAGAAATCTACAGCTAGATTAAACACAAACATTAGCTAAAACACAAACCTTTGGGGTGTTCCTGATTTACTCATCATGCAAAGTTTTGTGGAAGTGTTTGTACTTTAATGTAGTCCCAATCTGACACAGCATTGATACCAAACGCTTTAAATATTGCAGAACTCTATGAACAGGTAGCATCTAAAAGCATTACAAATGAGAGTTACTGAGAGCAAGATTATTTTTAAAAAGTACCTGTAGACACAACATTGGTGGCATGGTTAGAAACCGGCAGGCACTCTGCGGCGCTGTGATGCATTATCAGAGGCAGAGAGGGAGAAGAGTCAGAATTCAAGGGTACAAAGGTGTCAGATGAAGCAAACGCTTGGCAAGTCATACCCTCCAACAGGCAAAAGAGCCACTTGCCCCTATTTTCTAACAGAACAGGTCCTGCGCGGTTAACGGCAGCTCAAACTCTATTCCAGGCTTTTTACCTGCATATACATATACAGGAGGGCTCCAGAGCACAGGGAGGTCGTGTGCAGGTATTTATACCACTAGGAAATCCCTTTATCCATTTTAATGTTCTTTTCCCAGCAATATTGCTATACTGCTATAGAGCCTCCTTCCTTCCCACACAAACACAATACGTGTCCAATTAATAGCAGGGAAAGAAGGGGGAAACCAGAGACATGATTTGTCAGATATTTTCAATTAGGTCTTTTGTGAAGAACAATGACCAGAAAAAAACATATAAAAGTATCGTCTCCGAAGTCAGTAGCAACGAGACAGGTATGTTTAATACTAAGTAGGTTTCCACAGTTAACACCTGCCCCCAAAATCTCATCCGGGCAATTTTCTGGAAGGCAACCAGGCTGAGACCTCAATCGAAAGTCTGCAAAAGTCAAGAACCGATAGCAAAATAATCTAAATTAACCTAATTCCCAGCAGTTGCACAGTGATCATTTGTTTTAATATATACTAGTATAAATCAGAGATGTGTAATATGGAGCAGCTGTATCCAGGAGGAATTTTCTGAACAGATAGCTTTACATAAGCACGAAGTGCTAAATGTTTATCTAAGATAGACTCTTGAAAGAATCCATAGTATCACATAAAACTCATTCACAGTTCCTTTTATTAATTTATACTACTGCAGTATCTACAGTCTCATCCAGAAGGTCCTGGTCTTTATTGTGCTACACACTAAGTAAAAGCAGGATCTTTTCTCAAAGAATTTACTAACTGATTTGCTGTCATGAGATGGGAATTACTTTGGAGCAGTAAAGAACATACAGGTTACCCTAAAAATGATGGAAATGACTGCAGTACACCATAGTCTCATATTCTATGTATATGGCATATATTTTAAAGGAAAAAAATTATGCAGATGATCTATTTCATTTATTTTTATGTTATAGGAGCTAAAATGTATTGATGTGGAGGGGGTTTTTTTGCAGTCTGTTTTTTTGGGTTTTGAGGGGTTTTGGGGTGGGTGGTTTTTTGGGGGTTTTGTGGCCAAAGATGATTGGGTCAGACCTTTTATTTTATGTAAAGATAATGATACCTTCTGTGTGTTTGGTATTCCAAACCGGTTCAAATGTCTGCATTAGCATTTTGACAGCATAGACTTCAGATACCCAGAGGGACCTTGACAGGCTTGAGAGGTGGGCCCATGCAAACCTCATGAAGTTCAACAAGGCCAAGTGCAAGGTCCTGTACATGGGTTGGGGCAATCCCAAGAACAAATACAGGCAGGGCAGAAAGTGGATTGAGAGCAGTCCTGATGAGACGGACTTGGGGGTGTTGGCTGATGAGAAGCTCAACATGACCCAGCAATGTGTGCTTGCAGCCCAGAAAGCCAACTGTATCTTGGGCTGCATCAAAAGAAGCGTGGCCAGCAGGTCGAGGGAGGTGATTCTGCCCCTCTACTCCACTCTGGTGAGACCCCACCTGGGGTACTGTGTCCAGCTCTGGGATCCCCAACATAAGAAGGACATAGACCTGGTGGAGTGAGTCCAGAGGAGGACCACAAGATGATCAGAGGGCTGGAGCACCTCTCCTGTGAATACAGGCTGAGAGAGTTGGGGTTGTTCAGCCTGAAGAAGAGGAGGCTCCGGGGAGACCTTATACCAGTCTTCCAGTACCTGAAGGGGGCCTACAAGGCAGCTGGAGAGGGACTTTTTACAAGGACATGTTAGTGACAGGACAAGGGGTAATGGCTTTAAACTGAAAGAGAGTAGATTTAGATTAGATATAAGGAAGAAATTTTTTACAACGAGGGTGGTGAGGCGCTGGAACAGGTTGCTCAGAGAAGTTGTGGATGCCCCATCCCTGGAAGTGTTCAAGGCCAGGTTGGATGGGGCTTTCAGCAACCTGATCTAGTTGAAGGTGTCCCTGCCCATGGCAGGGGGGTTGGAACTAGATGATCTTTAAGGTCCCTTCCAACCCAAACCATTCTACGATTCTATGATATGGGAGCAGTCATACATGTTATTGTGTCATTTTTTCATGCATAATTGCAGAAAAGTGGTATTGCATCGAGCCATTCTGGAGAATCCTTGATATTATCTGTAAATGTGTTTTGGGGAAGGCTGTTCTGAGGTTATTGAAAAATTTCAGAAGAATTACTGCATATAGCAAATTGCACATGTGCTTTAACAGTGGTGAGGCTCTATGCTCATAACTACTATCTATACATGATCTTTCATATCACAAAATATACAAAAACTTTAAAATAATCATTACAATATTATGGAAGATACTGTCATCAAATGAACTGCCATCTGTATTACTTTGGGCTTGGCCCAGTATATATTAATGTCCGTGGATTCATGAGTATGCTGACTAATGAGTGAGAACTGAGAACTCTAGCATTTCATTCAGCTAAGGGTGGTTTTGGAATCCATAAAATTCTCAGATCAGAGCATGGCACTGAAAGAAACTAGGACAGAAGTCAACAATGATGACATTGTCTTATAACACCCTACAGATTATAAACCGTTCTCAAATGGTATATCCTTCTATGACATAAATAATTTTGTTAGCTCCAATGGCAGATGTGTAACACTAGGCCAGAGTGCTATGCATAAACTGCTACTCAAGTGAGTGGAAATCCAACACTTATTTTAAACATTTTCACCTCTGGTGACCTTTTCTCCCTCAACAAGGAGCATGATACATCCACAAGAAGCTTCAGTCCACCTACCTGCTGGGGTTTTGAAGCCATGGGAGAAAAAGAAACACTAAGAATAATTTTACAGCCCTGGCCTTGACAATACTTTTTTCTCAAATCCCAACAGGTAATATTTCTACTGCAAACTCATAGCTAGATGCAAAGAAGTTGTAGCCTGTCCCCAAGTATGAGATGGAGCTCACTTCCGGATTTCCATTTCTTCCTGAGGTCAGGAGACTTACCTAACTTTGCCCAGGTGCTCAAGCTTTCCAGACCTATACAGTTCATTAGAGGAGGTGGTAGTAGGTTCTTGAAGGGTGCTCACCTGCAGAAGCTGGGACTAAGGAAGACTGGGAAAGTACGTGCAGCCAGCAATCATGAGGTATTGAACTTTTTCTCAGAGTACAGTAAAAAGCGTTTTTGTGACACCACTCCAGACACCACCTCAAACGAGTTTTTCATGCCACTGCTATTTAGTGTTGTATTTCATACTGCTGAATTACTTGGATTTTTATTTTTATGTGTTTGTGCCACATTGTCTACTTCTCACTACAGGTAACAACTTCACTATTTTTGTTTTGATTATGACTGAGTTTTTAGTTGTAATCAGTTTAAAATAAAGTTATTTGGTGGTATTTTTGACGATCCTGAATAGCTAGACTCTGTTACCAATACTAGGTATTTGACAAGTTTCACATTCATCAGGTAGAATAATAGAGCTCATTTCTAATGAGAGTAGCACCTCTCTTAAAGCTTTGTTACAACCCTCGGTGGATACTGTGCTAAGTCTGTTACTACTTCTGTTCTGCCAAGAAGAATCCCTTGGTGGTGAGGCCCTGTTGCACCAGCCACACTCAGCTGTTTGGCTGGGCTTCAGATTGTTTGTCTTACCCAAAATTACCCTATGGCTCTGTATATTGTAATTTCATGGTCAGTTTTAAAACTCTGCCTCACAGCAGAAAGATTTTGCAGATATTTGCTCTTCTTATCCCAACTCCTATCTAGATCTGCAGTAATAGATACTCTTCCACTTGTTTAGGGAGGCCGCATGGGCCTGAGAATTGCCTCCTTACTGCCATGCTGACATGTCAGGAATCTATGCCTTTGTCCAAGGATACTCCATTCTGGCCATGAGAATGTGCTAATCATAAGCAAAAAGGATGATACAGTGCTCCTCTCCTGTGTTAAGAAGCAACCAGACTTTATGACTGGAGAAGTCAGGTTGAACTAACAGCATTTTTTCTCCTCTGACTACATTCACAGAAGACCCAAGTTGTTCCAGCCTGGTAGACCAGAAATGGGAGACTTGGAGTGATAGGGGTTTTTTTTTGTTGGTTTGTTGTTTTTGTTAAAAAAAAAAATCTTAATCTTACAGGACTGTAAAAGCCACTCAAGGTCCTTTTTTTTCCTCCTGGAAAATCAACAGGATGTGCCAGCTTATCTATATTTTTAAAGCAGAAATACTCCCCCTTGCTTTGATATAAGGCCTATATCTGTCCTTCCTCCAAATTATATTCTTTGGCCAGATCTTAAAGACAGGACTGTACTAATTATGTACTAATAAATCCCAATCACTATCTGAATCTCAACACTCAGCATCCCAAATTTGGACAGCTTATGGAAGCCAAATGGATGTGTCCTTTTCTGGTGAGAGAGTGCCTGATGATTAAGAAAGGCTTCACTGGACATACTCAAGTGGACCAAGTCATATACATGGAATTCATTAACACCCAGAGAGCCTTCTCTTCCTTTATTTCTGAATCATCATCTAACAGTTAAAAATGAAAGTGTAACAGTTCAGCTGAGGGTTTCTGCAGGCAATTTCAGACCTGCTGCCATCAACTGAA